AATTCCAGGCCAGCAACCAGCTGGCGCAACAGGAGGAAAGGATCAGCAGGGACGTGGAGGACCTCTTGGTATCCAAAGACCTGGATTTGGTGGTGGTGGACAGGGAGGTAGTCAAAACCGAACGATTCTCACCATGGAAGACTTGGGCATGGCCGTTGGGGAATATGGCGTGAATGTAAAACGCGGGGAGTTCTATCGTTAAAAGCGCAGTATCATAAAGCATAATTTGGGAAGGGTTGGGGGAATCAATGGCGTTACAATCTACACGGAGTTTTGAAGAGGCATCATAAGGGTATACGGAGAACGACCCATGACGAAATTGTATAACGGTGCTATATTGCAGGTACAGAAATCAAACATATTTATTCTTATTCGACCTATGTTTAACTCTTTGTGCGTGGGTATTTGAGAGCTGGGCGCATATCTTATAGATGCTGCCTCTTCGTTCGGCCTTTTGATAATATCAAAAGTCAAGCTACCAGTGTCATAGAAGGTTCAATCCGTCTCTCAGCAGTGAAGCTACAATGATTTTCACTCAAAAATGGGTTTTGTAATCTTCGACAAGAACTTCTGGAAGTGAAGGCACCCATAGTTGTTCCAATGTATCCGTTCTTCATCAACTCATACGATACACCTGATGTGCAACACAATGCACATACGCCAAAGCCCAAAGACTCTTTTCCAACCCAAACGCCATACCATGCCATACGATGTTAAACACCCCGCATTTACTTGTTCTTACTCTGCTTATATGTAAATCGTTTTCTTGTTCTGCCCGCAAAATTAGCACCTCATTTCCCTTATCCAATTCCTTAGAACCTACGCTGAGAATTCCCCCAACTTATGTCCCACCATATCTTCAGTAATGGTCACCTCATTGTAAACCTTCCCGTTGTGAATCTCAAAGGTCAAACCAACGAAATTAGGTAGAATAGTCGCAGATCTTGCTTGCGTTCTAATTGGTAATGTTCGAACACCCGGTACTGGTTTGACAATGGGGAGACTGGTGAGGGGTGATTAGAGAAGTTAGAGAATCTGCAAGGAATGTCTTACGGAACGATATTGGGGCCTAAAGCTTGTGTCAGAATTACATGACTAAGTTCGAAGGCACAAGTCAGAACATACCTTTCCAGACCGACCGTGAAAGAAGAACTCTACTTGGAAACATTCTGTCGTTGAATTGATATCAAATTGTCTCGTCGCCAATTACGGCAAATCTTTCATGCACTGAACGGAAAAAGCCGCACAACCAACTCAATTGATATATCAAAACACCTGGTGTATCTTGATGCTAGAAAACAACAACAGTAGTAGCTTTAGATATTTCGATTGAAAATTTAGCAAATGAAGAGATTCTAATTGACTTGGTAAGAAATTTGATCCAAAATAATGGTTACCTGATTTTAAATCGATTATTGAAAAAAGTAAATATCTCTTGCAGGCAATTCACTTCGTCCCTACGCTGCGAGCCTTTGTCGTCTGGTAAATTCCTAAGTGCTCGCATTCTGCAGGGGTAAAAAAAACACGCTAATCCAGATCGCGTCTCCCAGATACTGCAGGCAACCAAAAATTATAGATTCTGATGGTAGCCGTGAATTTGTACGGAATACTACATAAACTGTTGATATTTTCGTGTCTTTGATAGTGTTGATCTCTATTTAAGTGGTTCTATCGTCTGCGACAAGTCGGAACGACTACAACCTTTCTGGAGAGCTTCTTCGGGAAGAAAATTGAGTGGCCAAAATGCCGACTTTCACAGGTAAGTTCAATTGTCTGAACGGAAAACAATTACTGACTTCTTCATAGCAGCAGATACAATTCGAATACTCATTGCCACAGATAGCCATGTGGGATACGCAGAGAATGATGCTGTGCGCAAGGACGACAGCTGGAGAAGTTTCGACGAAGTAATGCGTCTAGCAAAAGATCGAGATGTAGACATGGTCTTACTCGCAGGCGATCTCTTTCACTACAGTCAGCCTTCTCGAAAAGCTATGTACCAAGTTATGCGATCACTACGAATGAATTGTCTCGGAGAAAAACCCTGCGAATTGGAATTGCTCAGCGACGCAAACGATATCTTTGATGGTTCGTTCAATCATGTCAATTATGAGGATCCAGATATCAATGTAGCTATACCAGTTTTTTCTATTCATGGCAATCATGATGATCCAGCTGGAGATGGAAATTACTGTGCTTTGGATTTACTACAAGCTTCCGGATTGGTCAACTACTTTGGTCGAACCCCCGAAGCTGACCGCATTCAAATCAAACCAGTACTTTTGCAAAAAGGTCAAACGAAGCTGGCTTTGTATGGCATGAGTAACGTACGAGACGAGCGTCTTTATCGTACATTCAGAGATGGCCATGTCAAATGGTTCAAACCAGGAGTACAACAAAAGGATTGGTTTAATCTCATGGCAGTTCATCAAAATCACCATGCTCACACAGAAACCTCTTATTTACCTGAGAACTTTCTTCCTGATTTCCTAGACTTGGTTGTCTGGGGTCACGAACATGAATGTCTTATTGATCCAACTTACAATCCCGAAAAGTCATTTCATGTCATGCAACCTGGATCATCAGTAGCTACTTCCTTAGTTCCAGGTGAAGCTGTCCCAAAACATGTTGCTATTGCCAGCATCACTGGTAGGGAATTCAAAATCGAGAAGATTCGTCTCAAGTCTGTACGACCATTCATTACAAAAGAAGTTGTCCTCGCTACAGACAAGCGAACTAAACATCTCGCAAAAGTAAAGGATAACCGCACCAAACTTACCAAGGAACTTATGACCATTGTGGATGAACTCATAGATCAAGCACGCGCTGAATGGATCTCCCTTCAAGATGAACCAGAAGAAGAACTCGACGATATTCCCCTTCCTCTTGTTCGTCTCAAGGTTGAATTCACTTCACCAGAAGGCGGTAAATTCGACTGCGAAAATCCTCAACGTTTCTCCAGTCGTTTTATCAATCGTGTCGCAAACATAAAAGACGTAATCCAATACCATCGCAAAAAAGCCGGCGCAACCCGTAAATCCGCCACCGAAATTGATCTCCCAGAAGAAGGAACTCTCGCCCAAGTTGCCGGTTTCGACGACGTAAAAGTCGAACTCCTAGTTAAAGAATTTCTCGAAAAACAATCCCTCCAAGTCCTTCCCACAACCCCCTTTGGCGACGCAGTAGGTCAATTTGTTGATAAGGACGATCGTCACGCCATGGAAATTTTTGTGCAAAAGTCCCTCAAAGCTCAAGTCGAAGAACTCATCAAACAGGCCAACGGCGCAGACAACGAAGTCGGAGACGAAGATGACTATCTCAATGCGGCCATGGAAAAGTTTCGCGCTCAACAAGAAGCACTCGCCGCCCGCTCAGGAAGCAAATCCAAAAAGCCCGCCAAGAAACTCAAACCTAAACCCAGACCCGCAGATTTCGACTCGGATCTCGATGGAGAGTGGGGTGAAAAAGTCGAGCATTGCGAAACGGACAATGGAGAGAATAATAATGATGATAGTGACGATGCACCACCTGCTCCCCCGCCAAAACGTGGAAACAACAACGGCAACGGAAAGAACACAGGTGGATTCATCATCAGCGACGACGATTCCGATGACCCTTTCGCTGAAGTCGTAGACGAAGAACCCAAACCCACCAGCACCACCAAAAAACCCCCCACTAAACGTGCTCCAGCCAAGAAAACCGCAGCCCCCAAAAAGACCCCTGCGAAACCAGCCACCACATCAAGAAGCAGGAAAAAGGTCCCCGAACCTGAACCAAGCGATGACGAAGACGAAGACGTCGAAATGGAAGAAGCACCTGCGCCTACGCCAGCGGCTAAACCAAAGAGTCAACCCAAGAGAGCGGCTGCGGCGCGCGGAAGACAAACCCAAACACAGTTGACATTTTCGCAGCCGAGTCAGGTGACGGCAAGAGGAGGAGGAGAGGGGAGAAAAAAACAGGTGGTTGAGTTGAGTGAGGATGAGATTAGTGAGGATGATGATGAGGATGATGCGTTTCAGCCTATGAGCGCGGTTAGTTCGGGGAGGGCGAGACGGAGATAGTTGGATGGATGAGGTTGTGCGTGCGTGACCGAAGGGAGAAGATGATGATGAATGAAAGGAATATGTCTCATGAGATATTTACGGATCTGCCGGTATTTCTTTGAATGAAAGAAAATATTGGAAGAGGTTGCTAGAACGGGAAGCAAGCGTACGTGCATATTACGAAGTTACGAGATGATGATATCAATTGCTTTGGATCTGGGTAGTGCATTTAATCGCCTGTATGGATGGATGGCTGGATGGATGGATGATTGTATCTATTTTGCAATATTGCAATGCAGTATTCATGATTATGGTATGAAACATTACATACATACAAATGGTGTAAGAATTTAGCATTGCAAATGAATAGTCAAATGAATAGTTAGTTGAACGGATAGATGAATAGATGGATGGATGGATGAATAAATAGCAATAACAGTACAAACGCCTTTCCGTGCTACTCATAACCCACATTTCCTCCTCGTTGAGTCGTCTATATCATAACAAGAAGATGAGGTATGTTATGTATTGGCTTTTAGGCTGACTCTTATGCTGCAAATATTGATGCCTCTTCTGAAAAACTAGTGGTACCAAGTTTTGAATAGACACATTATTCCCCTAGGATCATAATCCCCCCAAAAAGAAACCCACATAATGAACCAAATCCTCAAAAACATCCAACATCCCCCCAAAATAAAAACTACAGGAACTAAACATCCTCAACATCAACCCCAGACTAATTTTCCACCTTTTCAACTCTGCTCTCCATCATAGTAATTTCAACTTCGCTATCCTCCACTCCACTCCAGTCACGGCCTGCCTATCTCTATACTCCCGCAAAAGCGTAACCACATCTTCATGACCTCCGACCTCCGCAGCTTCCATAGCAGAAGGATAGAATCTTCCCTCAATCTCCTTTCCACAAGTCAGCATTGAACGAAAGATGATTGCGGTTCCTCACTCAATATCAGCACCAGATTTGAGTGGTAATTCCACAATATCTATGTTTCCCAGCGCAGCAGCAATAACCAGGGGTGACGAATGTTCTTTTCCTTCAAGTTTAGATGGCAATACTTGAGCACCATTATTAATCAAGTTTTGGACAACCACGACCGTAGAAATCGCAGCTGCGACAAATAAAGGTGACCCCAGCTCTGTGCTTATGTTGGTATCGGCTCCGTCACTAATCAAGCGTTCGACAACTCTCTCGCTTCCAGAAATCACCCCTGCAATCAACGTAGTAACTTCAACGCTTTCTCTGGTCCAACAGTCCCCATTCTCACGTGTCTGAAGCCCATCTGAAGTATAAAATTGACACCGTAAAACAGTTGCTAAGCACTTGTTTACATCATGAGGTTCGCCCAGCAAGAGTTCCATAGAGTCTGTGTGTGCATATGATGCTGCGAATGCTACTGGTGACCGATTCCCGTCAAGTATCAGCCCAGGGAGGCGTGGGTGATTCAAATAACTTCGCACTATACTAGCATCATCATACTCATCTTGATTCACGCACATGATTAGCTGACTTTTCACAAGTTCCCAAGATAGGGTTTTCGCTTTCGATAAAAGTAATTTCATAACTCCATATTGACAGACCCGCTTGCCTGATTTTGGATCCTCTGAGTAGTCGAAAGGGGGGCCAAAAGATAATTGTAAGCAGGTTTTGCACGAGTTAGGCATGCCTTTGGGGATAGGGTAAGTGGGATCAGCTCCGGATGATAGTAGTGATTCTATAAGTCTAATACTCCCGGTGTATAGGACCCATGACAAGGCCATTTCAAGATATCCTTCTGTCATTGGACGCACCAATGAATCGAGAAATATCGGGACAAATTCATCCCTTCTATTATTCATGACAGCCATATCTAGCACGGTCAAGAGTTTGATTCTTTCAGCCGTTGCGACTTCCGCAACGGATTGGAGAATAACGAGATTACCAAGATTTAGAGCATCTTCAAGAGGAATACGCATCCCCGTTTCGTAGTCTACATCAGCACCACTCTTGATAAGTAGCTGCACCTATCTCACATTTCAGCGTTGAAGAAATGCGAGTAGTATCCGACTTGAACATACCATATCAATACTGCTATTCGAGATAGCCTGTAGTAGTGGGGTATATCCGTCTTTGCATGCCTCTAGCTCTTGATTATCGAAATTAGGCTCATGGATTCCATGCTTACCAACTTCGTAAAGATTGAAATACGAGAGGATCATGAGGGCAGTTGTGTCGATGTCTCCGCAATATATTGTTTGTGGGTTTCCGGGTTGAAACAGTCGTCCCCAATTCGTGCGCCGATTAGAATATGAACACAAGCTGGCAATATCGACGGGGTCGAAAAAAGATATCGCGCATTTATAGTGTAATACAGTCGAAAACTCTGCACAATAACCTAAGAAACAAGCGAATGTTCCCAAGCGACTTGAGCGACCATTGCCACCAACCAAACAAGAGTTAAAGTTATCAAGGAATAGATAGGAAATACATGCTTCAGCTAGAATTTTTTGAGACGTATCTGACTGGAGACAGCGCTTCCAGGCACCATGCTCTCCTTCGTTTTGCTTGCTCTCGATAAGAAATTCTTTCGCTGTCTGATGTATGAGGTACACTTTCGAATTCACAATCTGTATGAAGAGCCCACAGAGATTACGAAGCATGGGTGGGTAAGGTTTGCTATCTTCCAAACAAATATCCTCAAAAGCTTGGGACCCCTTGTAACATACTTTGATGTTCATGGCAATGTTAATTTCATCCGTACTTAGCGGGCGTTCAGCCCCGACGATAATGTGCAGTCACTTTTCGGTATCTAATCTGCGTGGGCTTTTATTCAGAATAGCCTCATATCTGAAATGATTGTATTAGCATGTTGGCAACATTCACAGACGCCATGAGAACCCCAAAAGAGAAGCTGAGATGAATCAGAAATCCACGCTTGCTCCACAGTGATTGGTAGTGTTATCAGGCTTTCTTCTATCTTACCGGCGTCCCCGCTAGTAGATACCCTTTCGCGAACAACGTGCATAATTAAGTATAACCAACGATGAGTCCTATGGCTCGTTCCTTGCAAACAACTTATGATACGGGTTTTCGCTCTTTCGCTCAAGTCCAGTTGCGCAATTTTGTGATTGATGACGAGGTTTGTTTCCTCTCAGATTCCATTTCCCCTGCTATACGAATTATAGAAAAGTTTTGATTCATGCCTGAGAATATTCCCTCGATCTCAGAATAAGGGCGACTGGTGACCACAAAGTTCATGCGGCATGGCTGATTTTCGTATACAAGCATACGAATTCTCTGAATAAACTGTTCTCGCATATCGTAGCCTGAATCACATTCGTCCAAAGCGTCGATGACGCAGATAATATCACCAGCAGCAGGATCATTTGCTATCGATTCCAAAATGTCCCACATCATATCATGCAAGTTGCAAAGCTCTCTGCCGTTGAGCTTCCAACTCTCTAGCACACGTGTCCAGAGATGGCGATTCTTCGAAAGTATCTGGTGGATCAATGCTGTAACCGCCTTTTTTGGATTACGCCGTTCTGGGGAGATATGCTTGAAAAAGAAGTGACGTATGATAGTTGCAGGAGATATGCTCACCAATCTTTCGTCCACGAATGCTTTAGAAAGAACTAACTTTCCACACCCTGGATCTGCTGAAATCCAAAGAAGACCTGAGCTTTCACCGTCTCTCCAGTCGCAGAAACTCTGCGATTCAAGTAACCATCTGCAAGTGCCATCAACACGATCAGGATTTCGATTCTTTTGTTCTTCATAAAAATTAGCCGAACGAAAAGCTTGCAGACATTCCATTTCCTCTTTGGTTCTTTCGCGTTGCTTAGATTCTATTCCAATATTAGCCGTGGTGGCAATTGTCGAATCCGAACTTTTGGTTGCACAAATGCTCTCCACTAGACTATACTTGTGAAGGATGAAGGGTAGTTCCTCAAGACCTTTGCGACAAGCTTCATCTTGTTGAGAAGGATTGAGTAGTAGCTAAGGCTCTGTTAGCAAACTATAAGCATTTCTAGTCATGAAAGGAGAACAAGAGAAGGTAGAGAACAAGCTCAGAGTACACGAAACATACCGGAAGGAAAAGACAGACACCTGCCCAAGCTACTGCTCCATGAGGCTCGGCACTTACAACAAACCCCACGAAGTCTTTAGCCAGGCCTACAATCTCAGTCGTCTTCTCAAAACCCTTATCAACTCTACCACTTGGGGCATTCATTGTTTCGAGGCTATTTTGGCACACTTTGAGAAGCGTTGCCCCATTCGCTAAGATCTTTGCGGACTCGTTGGGATGGTATTCATTGCTCTTGTCTGTTTGGCGGCATATGATGAGTGAATATTGTTCATACTACATGTAGAAATTGAGCTGGTCAGAAATGCTTTTCGAGATAAAATAACGAAGTTATATACCATTTCCGGATCGTCAGCCTTGAGCTTCTCCGAAGCTTGGAACCAAAGATCATCCTCATTTGAGAGCTGCAAATCATTTGTGGTATTCGTTAATGAACCTGTCATCAAGCAAGTTGAATCATCGTGTGCAGGCTCCTGTATCCGTTTGCCAGCTGCTTTCTTGCCATTCTTGATAACAGATTCTCCACTCTTCCTAACAGACACTGCTCCAGAACCCGTTATATCAACACTCGATTCGAACTGAACAGGCTCTTGTAAAACTTCAGAGCGATTCTTAAGATTTGCTTCGATCGAGCTAAGACCCCGTTTGAATCTCTTACCAATAGGCATACCTGGTGATTCAATGAATAATACAAAATCAGGAAACACTATAAACCATCACAAAAACGTAGTTTCAAACGGAAAGAACAAAAACAAAAAGATGAAGACAAACTCGACAAGGCTCTCCCGTACCACTCACCACAGCACAGCCCTCACCGGCTACCCGCACTTCCATATTCCATTACACACCTAGATACACATATTTCAATCACACTACATACCGTCCTCGCCCAATCTTGTCCTCATTTTCTCACCGACCCCAGGTTTCTTCGAAAAACTTGATCTCGAAGCGACCTTTACATTCTAAGTATGCGTCCTGTGGGTTGTATGCATCGAGACATTACGGCCTACTGTCATTGCAGTCAAAGGTGAAGACTGTCTCGCCGACAGAGAAAGGCTAAAGTCACTCCAATCTTTTGGGTCCACATGCGTTGGAAACCTCGAATTCAAAGATGTCGCATCGAAAGCAAGAAATTATAGGCCGGAGGACATGCACACGATGCCCGCATCAAGTCCGTGAATTCAAGCTTTCCTAACTGACTGAGCGGGCATGTAATATTATCGGAACTTAAATGTGCGAGAAATCATCCCTAGCACTTGAATTCTTGCTCACAAACTGGCCAAAGGAGTAGGAACGTAGTCGCACTTGCCTCTCCAAACATAATCCAACACGTGATATACTTCACGGCAAGGCTTAGCATCACAACTTTAAAGACTTTCTCTCACAAATGATACGCAGATTCGCCGAGTTAAACCACCCCCTTCATTGAAGAAGATGTAGAATTTCTATCAACTTATTGACCTATCAACATGCTCCTCTAACCTGCTAATCCTTACTACCCGTCCAACCTCCCTTACCCTTCGGCTCCGATTCCCCATCTCCCAATCATAATCAGCCACAGAAAAGGAGAGCTAGAAAGTAAAACGCCATTCTCTTAACCGGTACGCGCCATACCCCACAATGAACCCCAATCTTTGCTAATAAACACAATCCAGTCAATGGGACCGAACATTCTGGGGAAAACAACACAAATTCTCAAACTCTTTTTCCCTATGCCTCAGAAATTCCCAAATTTAAAACCCCATAACCTTGTCTTTCTGCTCCCTTCTCCCAGTTTCAGTATTTACAAACAGAAAGAGGTAAAATGCGTAGCGTTAGTCTCGTATTTGTGTTTTTCTTCTTCCAACACTCGTCTGCTTACTGAATATCAACCGCAAGCAATGTATTAAAATCATCCCGTCCTTGCAATCAAAGAAATGACATAGGAAAATATGCTCGCGAGATGTCTGTTGTCCTATCAATCATCCAAGTGACTCCCCCCAAACTCCATCACATAGTATAGACGATAAAACCGTTTCTGATATGATGACGGCCAAATATTACAATCACCGACCGTCATATCTTCCATTATGTTGATCCACGGTTTGATGGTGATCGTCACCATCGTGGTGCAGTGTGACACTGTTGAATTCCTCGAAGGGATCAACTTCGACTTCGGCAGCACCTGGTGTAGCCAAGCCAGAATCAAGTGGTACTCCTTTAGCTGACGCCAAGGTTCTTGACCCGCTAATATCAACACTTTCGCTCTCTTTAACATTTCTGAAATTGACTGTGTCAATGCCGCGACCTTGGTGGGGAATCATGGGAGGCTTCATATGTCTGATGAGTGCCCATTGAGTTGTGCGGAAGAATGGGTGAGTTTTGACATCAGAGGCTCCAGCTCGAGCCCCCAATCGTCGGTTCTCGTCCTTGATTAGGAGCTTTCGAATTACTGATTTACAAAGACTATAAAATAAAAAAAGTGTTAGCATTTTTGGAAAGTCAACTTGTGAAGAGTAACCGACTTTGAGACTTGGGGAGAGCCAGAATGTTCCGGGAAAGGAACATCATCTCTCAAAATATTTGCAAATGTAGCATTGCGATTCTTTCCCTTGAAAGGTGTTGTGCCAAACAACATCTCATAAATCAAAATACCCAACGTCCACCAATCAACTGCACTTGTATGACCGCATCCTTTAATAACTTCGGGCGCTATGTATTCCTCGGTTCCAACAAATGAATTCGTTCGGAAATTTGCTATACATGACTTTGTGTCGATCGTTGGGAGGGAATTTACGTTTGTGCCGTTTCGGCCAAGAATCATGGTTGGTTTTCCGCCAGGGGCCGATTGTTTCGAAAGATCAAAGTCTGACAACATGATATGACCAGATTGATGGAGTAAAATATCTAAGCTTGTTAATATCTAAACGCCCAAGCTTCAAGAAACAACTTACTCTCCGGTTTCAAATCTCGATAAATGAAACCCATCAAATGTAGATACTCTAATGCAGCAGTGACTTCCGCCGCGTAAAATCTAGCATCGTCTTCTGGTATACATTTGCCTGGTCGAGTTTGCAAAGCTCTAAAGAATTCTCCACCACTGCAATATTCCATGCAGAGATATAAATGGTCCTCGGATTGGAAGGAGTGGTACAAGGTGACAATGAATGGATGGTTGCTCGTAGCCAAGATTTCCTGTTCTGCCAATGCTCTCTTGATCTTGTTGCGCTTGATCATCTCTTGCTTGCTCAACACTACAGAATGTTAGATAAAAAAAAATACAAGGCGTTGATCGTCATATTGCATACCTTTCATCGCGTATAATCTGCTGCTCTTCTTCTCTCTCACCAAGTATACCTTTCCCACATCTCCCTTACCAATCAACTTGATCTTATCAAAACTCCCTGGTCCTACCTCAACATCACGCACTTTGATGGAATTTGAGCTGTACGTCCTCCTGAAGGCTGGATTGTTTCGTAGACTTGGGGGTTGTAAGGGTGCCAAGTCATCTTCTGCACTTACACCCATAGCATCTGTTCCCTCCACCATGCTCAACATTGTCGTGCTCGCATTGTGTACCAACGGTTCCTTTCCAAGCTCGGCAGTAGCCGGTCGATCACCATCACCCTTCCCTGAGAAAAGACCCTGTGCATTGGGAGCGCTCGCGACTCTTCTTAATTTTCGTGCCAATTCTTCTTTGCCAGCTGCCGTGGCTTGATCATTCACACCTGGAACGGTATCGACTTTGAAGCTTGGCGTATCGGGAGGACTAGGAGGTATCGAAGCATCATCGTGATGTCGCAGGGCAGGAGGACCTTGATGTGCAAAGTATGGATTCGCATGTGCGGTGGGACTACTGACGCCATCGTCTAATGCATTGCCTTCGCTTGCTACTGTCGTTGATCGATTGCGGCCACCACCTGGAAAGAATTTGGATTGTCGAAAGCCTGATTTACCTTCGGACTTTAGTGAAGGATCGCTCTTTTCACTGTGATTTGTGGAACTGTTGATTCGAAAGAAGTTCTTCAATTTTTGAGGAAATGGACTGTGGCCATTGGAATGCTTGTTCGACGACATCGAGGAACCGGACAAATTCCGCTTCTCGTTATTGGAAGGAAGAGAATTTGGAGATGAACTGTGAAATAACTGAGTCATTGATCTCGAGTCTCACAGCTTTAACAAGAGCTGCCCCTCGAACTTATATGAAGGATGTTGATGGAGAGAGGATTATGAAAATGTGTAATTGAATGAATCTCCAAAACAGGAGATAATGTCGATAGATACAAGAGACCAAGTTATTAAGTCAAGACAAGGTTAGGTTTAAGGAAGAATGAATAATGAATCGGTGGTTTGTCGTCCGGTCAGTTGGACCGTGCTCCAGTTTGGATTTCCAATCTTGTGGTATTGAGATTTTGACCTGAACTGAACTGAACTGAACTGGCCTGTCCTGTCCTATCCTGTCCTGTTCGTCCTGTCATGAGCTGACCTGATGGAGAAGGTGACTAGAGGAGAAAAGGACAACCTTGGAAACAGTTTGAGAGTGGCGCAGTTGGATTGGGATTGGTCTTCTTGTTCTTCTGCTTCTTCTTCGTCAATTAAACTTTGGACAACATTTTCATTGGGGATATGGCTTTGTCAGAGAGTTATCATACAAAATCTCAATACGAAGGGCAATGTTTCGGATAATGATTTGAGAGACTACCTTGGGTATGGTACAGTAGTGCAGTAGTGCAGTACGGAAGTTGGATTTGAATTTGGATTTGTTGATAACCAGACGATAGGAAATAGGAAATGTACGTGGAATGGGGCAAAGTTCGTATTTGAATTATCTTTGGTATCTTGGGATTATATATAGTTATCATTCATAATAGATAAATATGAAAAAGTGCTTGTAAAGATTGATTCATATTTACCTAATTTACTTGATTTGCCTTATTTACCTTATTTACCTCACTTGCCTCACTTGCCTCACTTGCCTCTACCTTGTTCCTCCTCTCTAAACTCTTGGGTTTTGTGAGAGAAGAGTCTCAACCGAAACAAAGCGTGTGTGTGAGTGAGTGAGTGAGTTGGCCGTCTCGAATTTACAGGATTCCTGTGGTTGAGCCAGAATTCAAAGACTTTAAAATTTCCCTTTCCCTTTCCCGTCAAGTCTTTCCCCTTTAGGACACTGCACAAGCATCTTTTGCTACCTTGAGTTCTTAGGGGAAATAGGGTTCACTTTGACCACTGTCTGTCTGTATGTAGCGGTAGGGTAGATATACTTTTGTTTGAATGGTCTTGGTCTAGCATCGGTCAACACATGATTCGGGCTTAGTTGAAGGCTGGGGTTAGGGTGAAAATGTAACGTGTATGGAGGAAAGGTAGCCAGTAACAGTAACAGTAAGGAGGGTAATAAGGAATTGAGTAGTAAGTAGGTAGGTAGCAAGTAGTGAGTAGGTAGATATGGTATGGTATGTATTCAATATACTACCAAGTATTCTATTTATTAAGCAGAATGCTTTATAACATTAATATCATATGTGACTCTCAATATCCATATTGTTTTACCATCCCTATACATATAACATTTCATTAATTCATAGTTACTCAACTTATTACTTATTACATTGTACTTAAGAAAGATCATCGCTTATCAAAATTATCATGATCCGTCCGGTCTTCTTCCATCCACCTCCACCTCCACCTCCGCCTCCACCTCCAAGCACGAGAACGAGACCACGAACAGGATCAAACCCTTTCTCTCCTCTCTACATAAATTGGGATAAAACCACCGGGCGACTTGCCTTTTAGGTATTTGTGTACCTACTGGGTATGTATGTGAACCGGCCAAGATTCAATATTCTCTCTATCACCGATACAGTCTCCAGTTCCAGTCTCCAGACCTCTTCCTTTTCGACCGTTGCTCATTTCTTTATCTTTCGCATCCATCCGTTTGATGTTTCAGACGTCGATATGCTCTAAGAGTATCTCTCCTTATGAAGGAAAGACCTAATTACCTAGCATTGTATTATATCTAGCAACAATTACCTACTAATTACCTAGTCGTATCCTCGACCAAGGCACAAAATTAATATATCTTACACACCCGTGAACAGCTCGTTCCACTTCCACTTCCACTTCCACTTCCACAAATGGACTCGGATAAAGTAACCCTTTAGTCCATCTATCCTCCAGAACCTAGAATCTGTCGCTCCACCTCCCTTTCCTCAAACCTACACCATTTTATGTGTACAAAGTACACAGTTCGTTTATTCACAGTCCACAGTCCCAAACACCATCCATAAACATTACTACTACTACCTAGTATCCATAAACACAATCCACAACGCGTCCCTCCTCCGTACTCCATCTTCGCTCTTCGCACGAAACATCGGAAAAGCCGAGAAGATGAACTTGCTTATCATATCGCATTTCCTCATCTTGTTGATCAATTATCCATCTATTATCAATAATTATCAATCAATCCACCAGCAATCCTTTTCGTGATTTCATCTCCCGGTCTCCATTCAATCAGAATGATATCATCTTACATATATACATATATACATACATACATACATACATACATACATACATACATACATCCATACATACACCTCCATACATCTTCTTCAACTCCTTCAATCCATCAATCGCATCGTACATTGTACATCGTACACCATACACCATACACCATACACCATACACCATACACCATACACCATACACCATACACCATACACCATACACCATACACCATACACCATACACCATACACCATACACCATATACCATACACCATATACCATACATACAATACATCTCCGCTCCCTAACATCAAGATACAATATTCTCCACTAACCCTTCCATCCACCTTTACGAAATAAAACATCCTCTTAACAAAAACATAAAATTATGTACACAGTACATAGTACACAATACTCTTATTATCTCAACTCCAACCATAACTCCAATCCACAACTCTAAAAGAATAAATAACCATCCCAAAAAGCAAACAAACAAACAACCAACCAAAAAACCAAAAAAAAAAAAAAAAAAAAAAGGTTCAAGATCATCCCTCTCGGGCCGTTCTATCGCGAATCTCGGAATTTTATTTTCTCTTCAGACATAAAAATCAAAAGCCCCTTACAAAGATGAATGAGGCTGACCATGATATAATGACTACTAAAGATTTGGGTCATATGATACATACCTACAAGACAATCAATTAATCCATACATCTCTATCGTAGCACTCGAGTATCTAATTATCTTCCTTGGGCACATACACAATACATCATCCTTATTTATATATCAATCAATCACATTATACACCTATTCACGATACTCCAAACCCCGATACTCATACAAAATACGAACTGTATTACGAGTACCCATGGACACATCCCAAGCATTCCAATACAATACACCCTATGTACCTAGATATCCCCCCTCCCTCAAAAAAAAAAATCATTCAAATTCCACAGCCCCAAAATCCAAAGAACAAGAAAGAAAGAAAGAAAGAAGGAAAGAAAAAAAGAGGTGGGGAAATTTTATCTCCTAGCCATTCATCTCTTACCCATCTATCCATCTATCTATCCATCTATCCATCTATCCATCTATCCATCCAAACGTTCTAGAAGCCTACCTAGGTAGCCCCCAAAAGCCTCAAAAGAAAAGAGGCGTCGCAACTTGCAAATTGTACGTAAGCGAGACTTATGAAGATACTATACGGTATTATAGATTTTACCTTTTTTCACTCTAATCTGATTTGATTTGGTAGCTGAAGGGATGCGCTTGTATATATATATATATAGATGTATATAGGTAGACTATTCGCCGAAGAAAAAAACAGGCGGAATTTCCCCATTTCTGTAGTATCCATACCTACTACCTAGGTACGAGATATTACAATACAATTGCATCCCTCCAACATTCTACCAAACGAAATAAAAATAACAAAATACTAACTTATCCAAACAACAAGAAGCTAATATTTCTCTGATGTTGTTTTATTCAATCAAGTTGGAAGATTTCGATTAAAGATCCATTTCAGTGGTCACAAATTCCGCCGGGGGGGGGGGTTTTTCTCCGCAGAATCTAATAGGGTACTAGGTAGTAGGTCCACGGGTACCTAGCTAACTACTCAGCCACAAACCACCATGCCATGATGTGGCGTCCACGGGTAGTGACTGTATTCCTCTTTCTTTATTCTTTATGAACCTGTGAATGTTGTTGATATTCATGGATTTGATTTTCTGTTCTGCTACGCTATTAAGAATTAGCTTGGTGAGGCGAATTCATGAGTCGTGTAGTGTAGTATATATAGTATAGTGTGGTGGTTTCGCCCACCCGCCCGCGTCAGCTGGGGAGAAAGAAGGAAGAAATAGGAAGAAATAAATAAATAGGAAGAAGAAAGGAAAGGAATTGTGAATGTGAATGTGAATGTGAATGTCACGTGTACTGTGTACTGTGTATTTCTTTTTTGTGGAATAGAATAGAATAGAATAAGAGTAGGTAGGTAGGTGTAGAATATAACTTATGATATACCGGTAGATGAACGTTTATTAGATACCTGGATATATCTATGGAATGGATTATTCGAATCGAATATATGTATGAATATGAATGTAGAAATTAGTCGAGAGAGAGTCGAGAGTCGATTCGGTGATTTTATCTATTGAGTTTTCTTTCAAGAAAAAGAATAGGTAGACAGGTAAACGGGTGTATAGCATTGCTGGTTAAGTCGAGTATATGCTATGCGGACACACAGATAGACAGACAGATAGGATATATCTACACCTATGGATATGAGTGGAGTGTAAGTACAGATATAGGAAATAAACAAAATGAGAAGAAATCAAATAACAATGATTGAGTCAGTTATAGGATTTTGTTATTATGATTCGGAGTTATGGATAAATGGAGGGGTGTACAAAGTAAGTCAAGTAAGTAGTATATTCCAGATAATAATGTATAGATTCTAGATAGGTATATAATCTTATTGTCAAAATGAGAAAGAAGAATACAGAATATAAATCGTTACATTTGGAGACCTCTCCTTTGATATGATGTGATGAGCTGCGACTTACTGTTTCTTTCTATAAGATTGAATGAGATATCAAGTTTTGAATGTCGTATATTATATCCAAGTATTCCTCATAACCACTCACTCAT